CCTCCTCCTCCTCCTCCTCCTCTTCCTTTTGAAAGGGATCTTGGAGGTCTGCTAGTCCAACCCCCAGTCCCAGGCAGGGGCCCCTACATCATTTCAGACAAAATGGATGTCCAGTCTCTTCTTCAAAGCCTCCAGTGAGGGAGCACCCACAACTTCTGAAGGCAAGCCAGTCTACTGGTTTTTTTTTCACCTCTTATAACAAAGGTGTGTTTAACAAAAGTCTCCAGATCAAACGTCCATGGATTGGAAGATGCTTTACAAAGAGCCAGTGTGGTGTAGTGGTTAAGGGACTAGGTCAGGAGCAAGGAGAGCCATGATCTAGGCCTTTCTTACATCCAGAAAGTACAGCCCAAAAATGACTTTGGGCCAGTCTCTCCCTCTTAGCCAAACCAGCATCAAGCTGAAAAACAAAACTCCTTGTCACATCAGGCACCCTTGAGTCTGGCTGAAAGAACTAGGTAACTGCAGTGCAAAACAAGTGGATCCTGCAACAATGTGGGACAAATGCTAAGAAAAACAACATGAAAGGCTGCTTATGCACATTCTTATGCAAATCCAAGTGGCTCAAAATAGCAGCCTCCCTCCCTAACTCTTTGCATTCCTACTCTTGTGAGAAGCATTGATTCAGCTCACATTTGAAAGCCACCCCAGGACAACTATTCATCATCTGTCTTTTTCTGTTCCATACTTAATCATTGATTCAGAAAGAAAAGTTTGAAATTAATCAATGGAACAACTTGCCTCCTGGAGTTGTGGGTTCTCCATTGCTGGAGATTTTCAAGAAAAGATTAGACAACCATTTGACTGGGATTATATAAGGTCTCCTACCTTGGGCAGGGGGGGTTGAACTAGAAGATCTCCAAGGTCCCTTCCAGCCCAAGGATTCTGTGATTCTGTGAAATGGGGCCTTAGGAAGAGGGCTTCCAAAACTTTGAGAGTATAAATGCTTTGATTTAGGTAGAGGTAGATGTGTCATGAGATGTGTAAGGCTTAAAAGCAAGAATGACACATGGTGATTCTTCCCAGCAGAGCTATCTGGGGGACTCTACTTTCTGCATCTACAATATACACTAGGAACCATTAGGGAGGGGTTGTCTTCACCCTCTTTCTCTCACGCATGATCTCTGGGCTGCCTCTTACTGCTCTGGAATCCATCTCCTCACTGGATCCCATCACAAGATGTGATTTAATCAAGCAACTCAGTCTTTACTCCTCATCCTGTTAAACATCTAAGCCAACTTCTTCAACTGGGTGTCCCTCAGATATGTCGGGACAGCAAAATCATTGTGTTCAGAAGTACATTGACGTGGAATGTGGACCAACGTTCTTCAGCTGGGAAAAGCTGAATTAAGAACTGAAAGACTACATTCCTCACTTCACTTGAGATTTTCCAACATGCTTTACCTTTACGGGCTGTCCCGGGCAAAAGGAAAAATCACATCTGTTTCACTCAGAGTCATCAAACAGAAGAAAGCCAGAATGTTGGGATGATGGGTCTAAACGGGCAGTGAATTGTCCTTTTAACTTTTCTTGCAAAACAGCTGCTTCGTGGTGCTTAAGGCTGCTGGGACACCTTCACCGGAATGAAATGTTGTAAGAAACTATGCTGTAAGATAGCCAGTTGACAAGTTGGCTAGTGAGTGGCAGTGATGAACATCTATGTTTGAAGGAGTGCATAGGAAGGAACAGCAGAATTTAATCTTAAGCATATGGTTAAGCTATGCCAGATAATGTCACTTCATATTTTTTTTGTACTAATCTATGCAGGGGGTGGAGAACTTTGAAAATGTTCCTTTTTGTGGCAGCTACTATTTAATTGCATGTTAGACCTAAGCAGCTCGAAAACTTGGTTACCATAGTAACCCTTATTGCAGATTTATTGCCGACAATCTGTTCTCAATAACAATCCACCAAACAGAACTTTCCCTCTCCTGACCCACAGCCCTTCTTTTCATCACTCGTTCCTAGACTGTCTTTATAACTTCCTCCATCATTGTGTAGTCCTGCGGCTATGTGTGTAGAGGTGCGTGTGTGTGTTTAAAGAAAACAGTGTGTTTGATAGCTTTATCTTTCCAGATTAGAGTAAATAATTGCTCTTTTGTTTCTCCAACAGGGATTACTTTATTCTGTAATTCATTAGGTCTGATTTCAGGTTTTCACATAATATTTAATAATGCAATGTACTTATTTAAAAAAAAATGAATTGGGTAATGAAAGCGTGTCTGCAATTTGTATAAACCATTGTTTTAATTGAGTGCTAGGTGGAAAAATGCATTGTTGCAATCAGAGAATTCGAGCATTTATCTGTTCACTCCTTCCACCAAATAGAAAAGATTCTGTCTCTTTGCTAGATATGTTTAATCTCTGCTTCTGAGCTCGTAGTGCTAAGCAATTGGAAGGAGATTCTCTTAACAAAAGCTTCACGTCCCTCCAGACTAAGGCTAAGGAAGTTGAAATACAAGAGCAGAGAAATGGCCCCATTCAAAATCAAACACTCCACTTTTATCCTGCAGGAGATCTTTTATCAGTCCTTTCATCATGACCTTTTAAGTGAGGTTGCTCCAAGTTGCACTTTCGGTGTGCAAAGTTCAGGTAGTCCTCGACTTCCGACATTTGTTAAGTGAGTTTTGCCCCATTTCACGACTTTTCTTGCCACATTTGTTAAGGTAATTACTGTGGTTGTTAAATTAGTAACAAGGTTGTTAAGTGAATCTGGTTTCCCCATTGTCTTTGCTTGTTGGAAGGTCGCTAAAGAGGATCACGTGACTCCGGGACGCTGCGGCCATCGTAAATGTGAACCAATTATCAAGCACCTGAATGTAAATCACGTTACCCTGGGGATGCTGCAATGGTCATAAGGGTGAAAAAATGGTCTTAAGTCACTTTTTTCAGTGCCGTTGTAACTTCAAATGGTCACTAAATGAACTGTTGTAAGTTGAAGACATCCTACATGTGTTTCTTCACTGAGCAGTGGACATTTTTGATCGTCGCCTGAAACCCTTTTCAAAAACTTCAGCATTTCTTTCGCTCATCCTTTTCTTTATTGCTCACACTTGCAAAAGAGCTGCTGACGAAGAATCCAGGTAGTCCGTTCCATTAATGACTGTTCCATGTTCACTTATGGTGGCACTGAAAAATGTAACTTAGGACTGATGCTCACACTTACAACTGTTGCAACATCCCTCAAAATTCTGGGATTTGGAAATGGGAATATATTTATATGGGTCGTAGCATCCCAGGATCATTTGATTGCCATTTTCAAACTTTTCACCTGGCTTCCGACAAGCAAAGTCCATTGACTTTGAAGCTGGATTCATTTAACAACTCCGTGATTCATTTATTGACCGTGGCCAAAAGGGTGATAGAATTAGGAGCAACTCAATTAATGAGCCCATTGCTTAGCTAAGACAGAAGTTCGGGTTTTCAGTTTACATTTAAAAAAAAAAAAAAAGATCCTGCAGAAACATTGTAAAAAGGCTTTTGAGCCCAGATTTGGGGAAAGGGTATGCAAATCACAAAATAGATAAATAAATAAATGCAGATTATTTTTCCCAACTGTTTGTAGAACAGAATCTGTAACACACGCAAAACACATATTGAGGAAATTTTAGTGCAGACCAGGTCTGTTCAGATCTGCGCATCTATGTTTATAATTCAACTCATCTGGAGGGCCAACACTGTTTTGCATTTGTATTGTTTGGGGGGGGGGGGAATGTCCTGCTTTGTTTTACTTATTGTTTAGTCTGAGCTGTCCGCCTTCTGTCTTGTTTATTTTTTTTAATTGCTTTAATTTAGTATTTATATTATTAGTATGATCACAATAATATCATTAGTATTAGTTTATATTTTTTTATTTATTTAGCGTATGGCATATCATACATGGACTAGCAATATATATTAACATTTCACCTAGAGGTTTGTGGATTCTCAGTCATCCAGGTCGTGGTTGTCTCAAAGGTGCTTTTTTTTCCTTCAAAAGGCAACTGGACTGTTGTTTTTTTTCATTTTTTTTTCTTGAGGAAGAAGGAGAAAAACTTCCTGAAGGAAAAGAAAAACAGTTGCTTTTTGAAGAAAAAAAGCACCTTTGAGATTTCACCTAGATTAACAAAACACAATAAAATATAAAGGTTAAAAAGATCTGTGTTCAAATACCAATGTCTAGGACAGTGATGGCGAACCTTTTAGAGACCGAGTGCCCAAAAACCACCACCCCTACCGCTGTCCCCGCTCCACTGGACCACCCACCTCCTCCACAGCCCGCCATAGATCACCCAGGCAGCCCAACAGCGCCATGGTGGCCACGCCCTCTGCCCGTGCCCTGCAGCAGCATCTGCGTGCGATGGGGTGCAAGGGCAGAGTCTTGTCCCCACTGCCCGGCTACCATGTCTTTGGCTGCGCAGCATTGTGTGGGCTGTGCCCAGGGGTGATTCTTCTCCGGAGGGCTGCTGGTGAGGAGTGGGCCGTGGGAGGAGGGGGGGCTGGGGCGACAGTGTGTGTGCCCACAGAGAGGGCTCCGAGTGCCACCTCTGGCACACGTGCCATAGATTTGCCACCACTGGTCTAGGATATCTCTAACTATCTTATATATATATATATATATATAGCTGGCCAGAGTCCAGCAGGGTGGATGGCTGCATTGATTCTAGATGGTGAGGATGGTTTTTATTCTAAGTTAGTACCAGATGAAAAGAGGGCAGGAATCAGTCCTTAAATTTGGGGAAGGGGAGATGCAAGTGGTGCCCACACAGAGGAAAAATACTGAAGTCTTTACATGGAAAAGACCATTCTATAAACTAGACTTAGGATGTCCAACCATGGCAACTTTAAGTCCTGTGGACTTCAACTCCCAGAAATCCCCAGCCAGCCACAGGTCTTGCCAAGATTGGACACTCCTGCTGTAAAGACTGCATAGATATTTAAGAAGACCCTAGTCTTCACTTATGTTTATTACGTCTTTCTCAAGAAAGCCATCCTAGCTGGGTTTTTTTCTTCTCCTTCAGAGAGACCTCACATTTATGAAAAGGAGACTGATTTTTCCAACACTGAGCTGGTGACTAAAGGAAGAGAGCACAGCCTTCAATGCACAGCGAGCGGATGGCCTCTGCCCTCCATACACTGGGAATGGGAGCCCTGCAGCCATACAGACAACCAGTAAGTAATCAGACATTTCTGGTCTATTTAACTTCCCCATGACGGAGATCCAGCAGAAGCTGCAGTAGTGTCACATTCATCATGAGACGACTGCACTAGGCCAGGGATAGGCAACCTCGGCTCTTTTATGACTCGTGGACTTCAACTCCCAGAATTCCTGAGCCAGCCACGCTGAGGGGAAAGGGAGAGGTTTCCAAGCTGAGCCATGCTGGCTCAGGAATTCTGGGAGTTGAAGTCCACGAGTAATAGCCTACCCCTGCCTAGTAAATGAAATATATGGATCAAATCACTGTGGGGTGATGTTGTTTGCTCTTTAGAGTTGCTGTCATCCTCTATTACTCCAAAACAGTGTTTATAGGCTTCTCAAGATTTAGAAAAACCATATAAGAAATGCTACTTGCTACGTACTAGAGAGAATGTTGAGCTTTTATAGAAGCGGGCCAGGCATTCTTGATAGTCAAAGACTTTTGGCTTTGGAGTATGGAGGCAAATTACAATCCCTCCTCCCCAAGGAAAAAAGACCAAACCCCCTCCTCACCAGCAATCAACCCCCATATGAGCAGAAATTAACACCAAAATTAGGACTAGAGCAACAATCAAGAAGTAAATAATACCCCAGTCAAGGAACTACCAGCGCAGACAAACAAGCTAAGAGTAAATAACAGCCTAATCAAGGAACACTCCCACCAAGACTGAGACAGCAAGCCATTAGTATAACAAAATAAAAGCAAACCCTACTCCCTTCTAGCACTGATGATGTTACCTAGTTTGGTAAGGAAATGTCTACAAAAAAACCACCAAGCTCATAGAACACCAAGGACCTTGTAGTCTTCCTCCTCCCCCCCTCCTCCTCCTCCTCCTCCTCCGTTCTTCAAACCCCATTCTTGTCTAGCACTGATGAGGCTACTTAGTTGGGTCATGAAATGTCTGCAAGAAAACAACCAAGCTCGGAGACCACTAAGAGCACCACAGTTCAATCCTGAGCTAAAAATATTATCTTCTATCAACTTTAGGCTTTCAGGTAGGATAATGTTCCTTCAGCTCTTAAGCTATGGAAGAAGTTGTAAAAGACGAAGTGTGAGTCAAAATGATAAGAACAATCCTTCATTACACCATAGAGCTATCTAGCTGGACTTTGTCTTCCGTTGCAGAAATTTATCCATCAGCACAACATTAAAAAAAAATTTCCATAATTATGGGTTGTTCTCAGTATATGGTCAAACATGAAGGTCTCATTCAGATATGAAAATAATGAAATAAGTTTCCTGTATGGATTTTTTCAAACTTCTGGAACTGATGAATATTGTAAGTAAATTCTTCACTGGCCATGTTGAAAATGCCCTTAAAGACAGGAGATTGCATTTACCGCATTGAGGGGAAGTAATTCAGCATCGAAAGGATGTTGTCGGGTGACCGCAAAGCCCCACCGCTTCAGTAGACCACACCCTTGAACCTTTGAGCTCTACCCATGAAATGACGGAGTCATAGTCTCAAATCAGCTGACCAAAATCCGAGAACCACAGGCAGATTTGAACGAGGCATTATCCCAGCTAAACTGCCTGCAAGGAGTTAAAGTTCTTCCACATAAACAACTACCAAAAAACATCGACAGCCCAGTGGGAAGTTTTGAAGTTCTTTAGAGATTCCGACTGAAACAGCTGTTTCAAAGGAAATAAACAGGCCCCCCGCTGAATGTATCTCGTGGAGTCCTCAGCCAGTTCAGCGACCAACTTGGCTTTGCCCACTCTGAGTTCAGAAGCAGAGGGAGGAAGAACAAGGTCTAAACCGTTTTGAGAACAACTCTGGTCTGGTCTCTGAGTTGTTAAGTCCTTCTTTTGATGGAGCTGAAGATGGGAACGCAATCTAAAATGAGAATTTTAGAATAATGTAGCATGTTCACATGTTGGACTTGGATTAGGGAGACCAAAGTATGAACACCTCATATATACATGAGCAAACTACGAAGCTTTAATGATGGTTTCTTACTGTCTTGGCCTAAGCCAGCATGATCAGCAGAGGTGGTTATAAAGCCAAGATGGTGGCTGCAACAACCTTGATTGGAATCCCACTGCTTTTTAATACGCATCTTGACTTTTTTGATCCTTCCCACCCACCCACACAGACACCTGTGGCCCAAAGGATTATGGGCAGAAAATTAGGGAAGACCCTAATATGTCAGAAGACCTTCATATGTCCTTTCTTCTCACTCAATCCAATGTCAGTGCAATTCTGTTCTCTCCAAACATGCTTAAAAAGATGTAGGGATGTAGTTTGTTAGTTGTCCTGCCATGAATAACATATATAAATCTTTCTAATCAGCTCTGATAATGAACTGTCTTTTGAAATGACTCCTCCGCACATATCTGTGAGCCCAGGATAATATCCACATTTTCCCCTCCACTCTAAAAAGATATACTCCATCTATTATGAAGCTTATAATTCTGGGATAACAAAGATTAGTGGCCTAGGCATTATTATGCTATTACCCTTTGTGAGTGTGAACAAATGGATGCAGCCTGTGCTGCACAAAGGGCAAGAAAAACAGAGGAGAGCTAGCAGAGTTTAATGATTTCCACTGGGGAAACAGCAGATCACAGGATTTATTGTCTTGGAAAGGAGACCTGGTGAAAATCAAGGCTGGCAGAGGCACTATTAATACCTACAGAGTCAAGAAACACAGAGAGAAAGATTCAACGTGGAGCTTCTCCAAGACCTGCAAGAATGGGGCACCATGATATAATATAGAAGCATCTAACATGGAGGCCAACCCAGGGGTATCAATATTGACTTGGACTGAAAGTGGACAAGCTCATCTTCCCCACGACTGACGCAAGGGATTTGGGAATACAAACAAGATGTAGTGGTGGCACTCTTCTTTAGACCAGGGGTCCCCAACCTGTGGGCCGTGGCCCACTACCAGGGTGTGGCCTACTGGCCTCCAGGCCGCAGGACAGCCTGGCCAGTGCACACACACACACACACAGAGGCGTGCACTCATCCCCACTCATGCTAGCGCCACCGTTATGCAAACGGCACCATGGGCAAAAACGGGGCGCCATTTTGAAAACAGGGCGGCGCTAGGGCCCACATGGCAAAAACAGGGCGGTGCTGTTGTGGAAAAAACCACGATACTTACATCAGAAGACAAGACCACGAAGGGTTGGAGAAGACAGGTTTATTTGTGCACAATGGTTCAGAGCATTAGG